GTTATTTTAATGCATCGGATGATCATCCGATGTATTAGATATCGAAAGACTTTCAGAAAGACTTTTTATTGCAGTCGTATTGATTTACATCAAAAACAAAAAGTTATGCGAATCTTTTCTCACATGAATGTTTCTTCAAATATTTTGTCATTATTAGCGAAAAACGACGGAAATATTTTAGATTCTGATAGTAAGTAGATAATTTTGCACGCTGGACGTTCAATCATTAAATGCATTCATTCATTTTTCATATATTCATGCAAAAACTCGTCGACACACAAATAATTAGTATAGTGACATATAATTTTAATTTAATTTAAGCAACTTTTTTATTTCAAAGTGATAATAAGTAATGACATATTATTGTACAATAATAAATAATTCTTTTTTATGTGATGTAAACGTCTATGAAATGATACATGATAACATATCGGTCAAACGCGAATGACAGACGGTATCAACTTCAACATTTCCTCCAATTCGTCGGCCAGTCGTTGTCTATTTCGTTGAAAATTTTCCCCCTCACGGTCTTGGCGCTCGTTCAAATCATCCAACCAGCTCTGCGCCTCCGCGTTATTATATTGACTTCTGTGCGCGCGAGACGGGCAATTTAAATTCCTGGCACCGCCATCTATCGTCTTCTCGGTTTTGAAATCTCGAAGTTTGTCTCTAATTACGTGACGTAACAGCGAGCTAAATGCGGCGAGTTCCCGCGTATTGATTATTCTTGGATTCAATTCTGTAGATCTTCTGTGCTCTTGAATCACCGTAGCCTGCAATGCGAGTTATTGCAACTATTAATTACACAATTAATACAGCGTTGCCAGAACTTTTTTTGTGGGTTATTATCTGATTCTTATCTCTAGATACTCAAGTTAATTTAAATATTCCAGACGATTTTTTTATTTTTATCATGTAAAAAATCATGGAAAAGATCTTTAAGAAGTCTTAAGAAGTCTTTAAGAATCTTTATTTCGTGTGAGAAACAACAGTTAATACTTCCAACAGCAGTCGATATTTTTCTATAAAACAACTCGGAACAAATTCTATGAATATGAAAACAACATAAATATTTTTATATTGTTTGTTTTTTTACCAATTAATGTAATTTTTTTACTTGTATTTTATTAGAGGAAGAATAAAATAATTTACATTGCAATGAATGAAGAAGTTGTTTTCTGTCTCTCAATTTAACTTAAGTCAAATTCATCATCTTGTTTGTATCTCTCTTTCTTTCTCTCTCCTGAAATTCTGCTAGGTTCTATGACATTTGATGCTCTAATGGATGCTTCTCAAGTGTCTGTAATCACAAAATTCTTAGGAAACAGATTCTTTGTCTTTATTATAATGCAAACTTATTTTCCATGTCACAAAAGAGAAAGAGAAAGAAAAAGCTTTTTTACTGTTGAAAAGATTCGATGTGAACGACCCGCACGACTCTTCATTACATCTGTCATCTTTCTGTATTCTCTAAACTTTTTGAAGTGGAATCTCACTCTGAAGTGAAAATTAAGCCTATCTTGAAAAAGAATGGTTGAATTTTCATTAAGAGTAAGATTTCACTCTTCAGAATGAGATTCCCTTTTAGGCAGATATATATAGTCGATTCTTATATTTAAGACTGTCTCTTTTAACTACAGTCTTATAAGATGAGTAAAATCAGAGAGCCGTATTATTAAAACATTATTATAAAAAGGTTCTAAAAAAAGAACAAACTACGGCCCAGAAAGTCACATTAATGCTTTAAAACATTACTTAAAACGGTCTTAAAATAAGAATGGGCTTCATGAATGCTACCCTAAAAGTTTAAAATTTACCATCCAGTCGAAGAACACGTGCCGCTTTCGCAGCCACTTGGCGCGCACGTCGAGCAGAATCCCGGCCTCGCGGTATTCTCGCAGTCGTCGCCGATCGTTCTCGGAACTTCCACCTCCTCCGTCGTCGAGGATGCGCGTTCTAGAGAGGCGTTTTGTCAACACTAATTCAGACACGCTCAAGTGCGGTAGACCACTCACGTTGATGCTCGCCGCGTGCACTTTAGATATTAATTTAGCCCGCTCACGGATCAACTCATTGATCTCCCGCAAGTTTAGATTTACTGTGGCATTCAAGTGCAGGATACTGCTAAGCTGAGCGCTTGTTGATAACGGCTGATTGTTCGGTACAGCAATTAATGATGGAGGCTGTATAGACTTTGATATATAAATGAATTTCCTTTGATATGAAAAGACACTACACGATATACTATGTCCCGTATTTTTGGCCAAACACTTTTGTGTAAATAGAGCGGACTAAACTGAATTGAAAAGTTCTTTACCATTTTGCAATTTTCGCAATAACAAGATTATACAATATATTAATTATACTAAAAATCGCTGTATAATCGCTCGAATATTAGTCTCGCTTCAATAATTTGTTACTGAAATATTATTAACTTTACGGAAAAATAGCAAGTAACAAAAATTGCTTATTTCCTTCTCATAAAGTTTTGAGAATTTTTTCAAAATTTTTTAATACCGTATTTTCTCATATTGGTAAAAATAGTTACCAATAAGAAAATGCAGTACTAAAATGTTGATAAAAAATTCTTAAGAAATTCTTAAAGCTTTATGAGAAAAAATAAACAATTTTTGTCTCTTGCTATTTTTCTGTAAAGTTAATAGTATTTCAGTAAAAAAATATTAAAGACCAATATTCGGCAATTTTTAGTAATTAATATCTCATTAATCATTGCGAAAATTGCAAAATGGTAAAGGACTTTTTGACTCAGTTTAGTCCGCTCTATCTATACAAAAGTGTTTGGCAAAAAATTTCGAGATATCTGTATATCAAGCTGATATATTGTATAAGCTCGGCAATGTTCATTAATGCGCTTTAATTGTTAATTTTTTAACAAAAGCACACAGGAAAAATATAAGCAAAAGTACAAGCAAGTTATACAATCTAATTCTCATCAGTACGAAAAATCGCAAGAAAAGTCGACATTTTATTACTTTTGACTCTCTACTCTTTATCTATTCAATTAAAGAAATAGATTTCATTTATTACAGCGAAAATAGATTTCACTTATTTTCATTGTATTTACATTAAAAGATTTAATACTGACTTCCGATGAATCTACATGTGAACATTCGGCACCTAGGACGCCATCGACCAGTTTTGCTCGAAGGATAGCAGTGAGGACATCCTGCGTTCCCACCAGCCAAGCTATAGCTATCAACGCATCTCTATTATGTTCGCCGTCTTGCGACAAGCTGTAGAACTCGATCACTGGATATTGTAAGAGTGCGAGATGCAGCTTTACCGCCGACGGAGCGTCTGGAAATACGATTGACAATGTAAAAGTCTTTTTATAAAAGACACCAATTAAACGCACGTACGCATATGCACACGTGCACTCGTGCTAAAATATATATCGTACAAAGAAATATTAATATTATTATAATATTACAATATTAAATAAAAAATATCTTTTAAAACATACACATGAATACACAATTAATTATTTTTTTAATTATAATATTAATAAATATACCACTAATTATTATTATTATTATACAACTATTTATTATAATATTATAATATTAAGTAAAAAGGAGGTCAAAATTAGATGTTGAAATAAAAAATAATTCTATATGCAATTTATTTTAAATTTAATATTTTAATATTTACTTTATATGTGATATACTAAAAAAAATGTATTCAAAAGGAATTACATATAGAATTATTATTAAATATAAATAAAAGGGAGCATACAGCCACAACACTAGATGTCTTAAGCGAAAGTCATATATTTAAAATTATAATATAATAACGTCTTCTTATCACAAAAAGTATTTATCACACGGAGTCGCACTTTACTTTTTGTAATAAGGAATCCTACGTGTAATAGAAAATAATTCATTAGCGATTAAGTAAAGTTCAACTTCAAGTTTTGTCAAATTACTCTGTTATCTCGTACCATAAGCGAATTAAAAATTGTTTTACAATCTTTTCTGGCTGAGCGTTTTTTTCAGCGTTTATTGTTTATTTTTATTCTTGACATCTTTATTTTTTAATGTGATGATGGTCAAATCTTGACCGAAACGTTATTATATTATAATTTTAAATATTTCGTTTAAGACATCTAGTGTTGTGGTTGTGCTCCCTTTATATTTTGTATTAGTAAGCCACTTCAAAAAAATTTTCAATTTAGAATTATTATTATTTCAAAATTTATAATTTCGAAAAGTTTAATAAAATAGGAAATATCAAAATTTTTGAAAAGTATTTTACATATAGCCTTAAATTGTTTCTATATAATAATACAAAAGTGTACTATTGTAAGATTATAAAAAAATATTAGAAAAAATGCATATAATTTTAAAAATATATATTTTTTTAATTTATTACAAAAATATATTCAATATTTTTTTACAAATGCGTATATTTAACTTTTTTTTTTTAAGAGTACTACTATTTGCACAATTAATTACTGCACTTTAAACAAAGAGATTGCATATCTCTTTTTTCTTATATGCTAACAATAAGAGCAATTTTACTTCTTTAATTATAACAATTATGTATACACAATTGCGGCGCGAAGACTTTTCGTAATTGGAATAACGTGCACGCTTCTTGTTAAAGCAAACGAACGCGAATCTAGAGTACGATCTGCACTCGGCAATGCAATTAAAAATGCAAATCATGGAAACGAACCGTAATTTCGGAAATCTATGTCGCCTCGTTTCTCTCTCGCGGCGTAGTAGCTCAGAATGCGCAGTGTGCTCCACAGCTTTTCAGCCTACACACAGAACATATATGGTTGCGCTCAACAGACTCGTCAGATTA